CCCCAAAACCCCAAAACCCCAAAACCCCTTTTTGTATAATTAGCATTGAAAATATATTATGTACTTTATCAAGAATCACTGAGAATCTGTTAAAAATTTGTTTGCCAGCAGTGGTGTCTTGCAGCTTGTCTGAAGTTTCACTAATATTCCCTTATGCAGTGCATCAAATACTCTTTCCCAAGAATCAGGTATGTTATTTTGTTTGAAACAAAAACAACAAGTTTAGTTAAAATGATTAAAAAGGATAATAACAAATAGAGATAGAAAATTGGAGATCCTGTATATTTTATAAAGCAATACACAATAACAAAATATATAAACCCATAATCACACAATTCTCTTGTAGTGATTCCAAAATTGAGCTTCAGGACTAAGTGAAGACAAATAGGAATATCATGATCCAATATGGATGCTTCTAATTTATAAAGAATCCAAAAGTAAATTAGTAAAGGAAACTCTTGTGAGATTCTTATATCAAGATATAGTTTCCTTGCTCTGTAATCAACACTTCAAATGCCAATGTTGATAATTCTGAAAAATAGCTATATCCAAAAAGAAAGAGATGAGCAAAAGCAAAGATTTTTGCTACTATCAATAACATGACCAATCTAACTATCACTCAAATAACCAAGCCATTTTGATCTTCATCATTGCTAACCATAATACTTTTTGCTATTAAAGCAGTGCCATCAGCACTTGGATCCTGCCAATTTAAATCCTCCTCTTGACAGAGATTCTTTATCCTTCTCTTATCGTCTTCAGACCCATAAGCTTCCACCAAGACCTTAAAATCTTCTACTGAATTCTGAGTTACAACATGGCCACATACACATCTCTTCAAATCATCAACCTCATATTTACTAGCTTCATTCCAATTGTCCAAAGTGCAACAGATGCAGTATTGGCATCGCAGCCTGCATTCAAGAGGATCATAGTCTATCTCTTTATCGCATTCCATTCAAGTTCTTATCATTATTTATTATTTATGTATTATTAGCTCAACTTTTTCCGCGCATAAAGGGGTTTTGGGGTTTTGGGGTTTTGGGGTTTTGGGG